CTAAGTAGGTGTGTTTGAACAGGAGGATATGACTCGAGTGTTGATAGTCTCCAGTCCGTCGTTTTCCGAACAACGCTCTAGCTTAGAAAACTTAGTCAACCAGACCTCGCTGTCGAAGAATTTGCAGGTGTTTTCGGCCAGATTGACGGTTATTCAGGCGGACGACCATTCAGCACCTTCGGTGCACAACGGTAAAAATCCGGATATGGTATGCGGCGAGGTGGCGGCAACGGCGCACGAGGACTGTTTGCCAAGACAGACGATGATCGTGCATCAACCCAGCACATCCTCGCAAGTAACGTCCGAAAGCCAAACGCTGACCGTCACTGGTATTCACTTTTGGCTATTATTATTGTTATTATTTAGATCTACCTTACCAACGGTTTTTTTGTTGAAGTTATTCCGAGTTTCAAGTACCGACATATAGCTCTTCCTGATTCATATTCAGGAGGTAGATTCGAAGCATTTTTCTAACTTCTTCATATTCGCAGTTTGGGGTATCTTATATAAGGCGAGGTATCGACTTAAGTACATTGGTTAAGTGACGATTCCCGTTCTTCCAGTTACATATGTTCAGTGCCTTGTAATTAACGCTCTGAATCGCAGCTGTGGATACATGACCAAGACGTTAAAAAAATTTTTATTAACACGTAAATGGCTGTTTAGATGGAACACGAACTCAGTGGCGATATATAGGTGTAACAATCCATTTCGTACGATGCAAGACAAATCTGACCAAATCTTAAACAATATGGCGGTACCGTAATTGGATATTGTCAAGATGTAATTAAAATTGCCTTTTTCTCTTTGTCTTAAATTTACATGAGTTTTACCATGATGGCGAGGTATAAACGCCTTCATCTCTGTTCTTGATGCTACGCTTTGACTAAACTTAGCGCTTTCCGACAAATAACCATTCTTTCTAGTTGTCAGTCGTTGTTGCCAGGGTTGAATCTTTAAAATCAATACTCTAACCCGTGAAAATTTGACTGATATGAAAGAAGATGAAGCCTGGGTTACGCCTTAGGTTGATTATTACACTTAATAGTTAGCCATTAGGTGAGTCAAGTCGAATTGCAGCCACAGCAGGCGCTGGCATCGAACAGCATGGCCCAGCGCTTCTCCCATTCTAGCATGACCACACCAGACTGCTATACTGTTTGCTACCCAGTTTCTCTATTCGGTATAATAATCAGCGCAAAGTCTATCCGTGAAAAGGTCGTCATCCTCATCGTCGTCATGTTAACCCACTGTTATCGACATAATAATCATAATTGCTATCGTTATCATAATGATGATTATCGTAATCACAGTTATCATCGTTATCGTTATCTCAGTCATCATTGATGCTGACGTACAAGAGAAAATGGCTCTCATTATTATGCTAAAGTTTATCTTTATCGTCTTTGGCATCATCATTGCGATTACAGTAAGTATCGCAGTAAAATAGTAATTTTCATCATTCCATCAATGACAGAAATACTTTTCATCTTTCAGAACGCTGCTAGACATTGGCCTGCTGAAATTTTTTTGTATCTTTTTGTCCTATTTCTATTTTACACCTGCCTTTGTATCTCACATCGAGCTTCTATGATTTGTTTGGGCTTCTTTTTGCCGCTTTGACGTCCTACTCGTTCCTCGTCCTGATTGACCACCGCGGCCACATCTCGAACATCTTCCGGCTCAATATTATTCCCGCTTCTCTGATCGAGTAATCATATTAAAAATACCAGTTTCCTTCCATACGTGTTATTTACATTTTCTCGCGTTTTTTCATCTGTTTAGTGAAATGCGCGATTCCTAATTTATACTGTGATCCTTAGTACTTATCTGCATAATTAACTTGAATACGGCATTGACTAGAAGCTGTATGGGCTATCAGTGAAAAATGCGTAAAAACGGTTTATTTGTACATAACGCAAACAAATAAGTCGGACATTTGGGTACTGACATTTCGGCTCGTCTCTCACGAGCCGTTTTCAGGGTGGTCCAGGGTGACTTCTACAATTGAGCATGTGGTCCGCAGTTGTTGTGACATTTGGAACCAAGGGTTTGGCCCATGCTGTTGGTTATGTAGTTTTTGGGTCACGGGCCTGATACAATTCGCGCAGAGTTCGTATTCTTTACTCCGCTTGACATTTTCACAAGATTGGATTCACAATTAAGGCTTCTTTGATTCGTCTGATGGGCCGCTTTCTTTTTTGTTTAGTGGTGCTCACGCAATCTAATCTTTGGGTACGTTGTATGATCCTGAGGCCTTTTTTTATTATTTTTGATTTCGTTAGGAGGGAGGGTTTGTTTTTTTCCTGGACGTTTTGTTGCCACATGTCTTTGGCGTCCGTCTACTGTTATCCATCTTCTGAAGTTTTCTGACGACCGAAGAACACCAGCGCATGAACAGATTCATTCTTTGGAAGCTATATGGTTTATGCAATTAGACACGTTGCATTTTGTGGTCGTGTAAAGCATATCTTTGTATTAAAGAATAGGACTAAATCCTCATCGTTGGTGTGTTCTTGTCTTAGAGTGAATTTATTTGCAGTGTCTGACGGCGAGGGACAGCAGGAAACGCGAACCGTGTACCCCGTTGAGTATGTTACTGGTTCGCAGACCAGCGTCGATGACGTAATATTCGCGGAAGCAACGGCAACCAGTCCGAGCATCCAACAAATACAGTACTTAATCGTGAATGCGCTCGTTTCATATTTCACACTCACGCTAGATATTTGTAGTACTGCACATCGCATTTTTTGTCACGTGACGTAGAGTATTTGTCGCATGCCGTCTGTGAATGATTTTGGGCTTTCGTGCTTAATGTTGAACGTGAAGCGGTGTAGACGCAGGATGTTGGAACTCTGCAAGATATAAAGAACACGTACTCTCGTTTAGCAAAGTACCTACGATATCCAGTTCTCTTGCCGTTTAACTTTGGACATTAAAAGGATGCAAACTACAGACGCAGAAATAAGGCAAATTTTAAAGGGTCTAAAATGATTAATGAAGTGGTCAGAAGGTAGAGCAAAAAGGACATAGAAAGTCATCTTTGCAATGTTGGTTTTCCTTACGCTTTCATTATGAGGTCATTTTTAGCGCCCTTCTTTCATGAAGTTAGTGGTTCGGCGCTGATCTCATTTTTATGCCGTCAGACAAGATGTGCAATTGTGTGACAAGCATAGCGTCTAGTCTTCTGATTGTTTCCCACAGAATGACACCCATTAATCAGTCTCAGAAGGAAGAAAGGCTGTGACTTAACTGAGGCTCATACCCGGGACCTTCCGGTAATGAGTCTGATGCTCTACCGACTGATAATCCTCTGCCTATCACCCCCAAAATATCGACAGACCGACCTTGCGATTAATTTCAGTAGTGACATGCAGACCATC